TCCAGGGGCTGTGGCTCAGGCCTGTTTCTCCAAATCTGACTAGCCCTGTGGCAGTCCTGTTTACCCCTCCCCTGCCCCTAGGGGGCTGGTCCCTTCATTTTGAGAAGGGAATCATTCGTTTTCCTCCTTGCCATAAGCTACTTACTACTGTTAATTTACTAGGAGAAATAAAAGGGTATCTGAGAATAAATGGTATAAATCTTGGTCTCTGATGAAAGATTGTATGAAGAAAAACACAGAATCATAAATTGTTTCTTTTGTGTTTTGCCCCTCAACTAGATACTCAAAGTCCCAGGTGATAGTATAAGTTCTAGACTTATATTCTGCAAACTTATGACTACAGTATAAAGACATCAGTAGAAAAGAGAAACCCCCAGAAGCCAGAGAAAACGAGGGCAGGTAAAGCTCCACTGCACTTAGGGCTCTAATGGTGGCAGGAGTGCCCAGTGAGGGGCACCAACTGGGGGCTCTGATGGAGACTCGCCAGCTCCCCTACTAGAGGAGAGCATGCAACCTACCTTCTCTGGACAGTATGGGGAGATTGCTCCCTTACATACTGTCTGTTCTTGGTTTCTTTTTTAAAACAACATTGCATATGGATTAAAAGATAAATTTTAAAAAGTTTGAAATAGACCAAATTTACATAAAAGTTGGAAATTTAATACAAAGAAATTTTTTTGAACCATTTGAGAGTTATGTTACTGATCTAACGTCCCATCACCCTGAATACTTTGCATGTATTTCCTAATGCAAGGTCATTTTCCTACCTAAACAAAATGCAATCATGAAAACTAGGAAATTGACCTTGATAACATTACCTCCATCTAATCCTCAAACCCCATTCAAGTTTTGCCTGTTGTCCCAATAATGTTCTTTGTAGCAAAATGATCCAGTTCAGAATTGTGCATTGCCTTTAGTTATCGAGTCTCTTTAATCTCCTTTAGACTTACCTAAGTAACTATACCTTGACCTTTATGACCTTGATTTTTAAAAAATATATGTGTTTTTTATTTATTTCAGAGAGGAAAAGAGAGGGAGAGAGAGATAGAAACATCAGTGATGAGAGAGAATCATCGATTAGCTGCCTCCTACACACCCACACTGGGGATCGGGCCTGCAACCTGGACATATGCCCTGACTGGGAATTGAACCGTGACCTTCTGGTTCATAGGTTGATGCTCAACCACTGAGCCATGCCAACTGGGCCATGACCTTGATACTTTTGGACATTATAGGCTGTCCTTCAATTAGGGTTTGTCTGATATTTTCTGATGATTATATTTAGGTTATACATCTTTGAATATCACAGAAATGATGCTTTGTTCTTCTCATTGCATCTTATATCTTGTGGTACATGATTTTTATCCCATTATTAATGATGTTCATTTTGTTCAGTGGATTACGGTGATGTCTGCCAGGCTTCCCCATTGTAAGCTTACTTCCTGTTATAATAAACATTCTGTGGGGAGGTACTTTCAAACTATGTGAATATCCCTTATCAGACTTGAATTTTATTTATTTACTTATATCTTTTTATTTTTTTTATTTACTTATATCTTTATGAAGTCATAGTTTCCTTTTTATTTAGCTCATTATAATCTATTAATATCATTATTTATTTTGCCAGATCCCCTTGAAGCTGACTTCTGCATCTTTTTGATCTGTTACTATCATTGAGAATTTCCTTGCTTTTTGGCATAAGATATTCCAGGTTCATCTTGTCCCTTTCTCCACCATAGCCCTGGAATCAGCCATTTCTCAAGGAGCTCTGGAGAGTATTATTTAGAAGGCAACTGGGTGCTATGTGTACTTTGTTATTAGAGATTTGCTGCTCCTTGGCCCTTCAGCAAACAGAGCTAGGAAATATATATGCATGTATTTATATATTTGTATATGTACCTGTGTGTGTATATTCATACTCACATTTGTATCTAGCTTTATTTTTATTATATATCAGAAATTTATCTTTTCCTTTTTCCATATTTTACTTCTATACTCTAATAGTGAGAAATGGGGTTTCCATTGCCCTTAATATATGCCCTTCTTTAATTAATTCCTCTTTATATAAGTAATCTCCCATCTTTGCCACTGCTCTTTCCCCCTCTTAGATGCATTTTTTACCCTGTCCATGACTCACCACATTGGACTCCTCCACCACTCCCCTGTGGATGCCCTCCACACTCCACATGGGCTCTGACATGCTACATCACACCTCCCTGCATCTGTGTGGATGCCCTCCTCACCTACGTGGACTCTCATTCTAACCTCCAGACCCTTCTGCTTCCCCCATTCCAGTTGTTGTTGTCATCTGCCTAAAGCCATTAGATTGAATTTTTCAGTAAGGAAAGAGGAAGAGGTGCCCTCTGTTTCTTGACTTGAGTTGAACTTGGTTTTTAGAAGTAGGGGAAGTATAGAAACCAGTGACTGCTGACATGTGGAGGCCTGGTCTACTAGTATCTGCTCTCAAGACTTCCTACAAGAGAAACTATTTGATGTGGGTGAAATCAGGTGAGAAAAGCAAGACCTGCCCGAAAGAGGAACTCTGGCCATTAATATGTTGTCCATGGAAGGGGATGGGTATATATATATATAGTATGGCATATGAGAGATCTAGAGATTCTAGGATGTAGGAGACATTAATGTTACTCTCTGAGGGTGCGTTATGCATTCAGTGGGTTTATAGGCCCAAAGTATGGGGAAATAGGTTTGACCAGGTGGGCATAGCCCAATAAGGTAGTAGTAATAACAGTAAGCTAATATTGATCTATAATTTAGTTGTAATCCAGTTTGGTCCTGGGAGGAGGTGAGTGTAGCTTCCATCTATTCTGCAGCCATCTTGGATTATCCCAATAGTAAGGTAATATTTATTGAGCCTTTGTGTGCCAGACACTGCTCTTAGTGCTTTACATGTGTCCTCTCATTTCACTCTCACTTAAGGAGTAGGAACTGTTATTGTCATTTTACAAGTGAGGAATCGAAGAACAGAGTTTGCCCATTGTGCCATGGTAAATAACTGGTAAAGCCAGGGTGCAAACCTGAAGCCCTCCTTAATCATGACATTTAATTGCCTGTAGCATCTGGCAGATGAGGTCTGGTTGATCGTACATACACTTTATATACTGTATTTACATACTGGAGAACATTAAGACTTTCAAAAATCCTTATGCATGGCCTGACATTGAGCGGTTAGAGAAGTATTCTAAGGCCCTGAAGAACTTTAGACCAAACTAGAAAGCATAATGTGAGCAGACTGGTATCTCCTATCTCATCAAGGCTTCAGTACTGTTCAGATGTGGGTGATATGAAGAGTTATTTTGGATTCCGGCTTTCAAAGGGTTATTGGCCCATTTGCCTTTCCAAGAGATTCCCTAATGAAACTCAAGCCAGCTTTTGTCTACTCTGGGCTGAGTTTTGACTGCATTTTTGGAGAGGCTGGGAGGCTATGGTGAAAACAAGCACTGTACATATGCAGGAACCATGAAGAATTTAAAATAATTTTCGGTCTTAGTTCTATTGAATCTACATGGAATCTCACTATAGGGATAGAAAAATTGAGAATGCACACTAGCATATCTATAATAATAAAAGCGTAATATGCTAATTAGACCGGATGACCTTCCGGACGGGGGTTGAGGCAGAGGCAGCCACGGAGGTGGCAGGGGCTGAGACCCTTGCATGAATTTTGTACATTGGGCCTCTAGTATCCTAATAAATGTGCAGGCAAATAATTGTAGCTCATTCAATGAGTTGGGAGAGCCAGGATGAGAAGTGATACTTGGTATTGTCCCATGTCGACTCAGGTAGTAGTGACCTTGTTGCCTCTGAATATGCTCTGGACTTCACGGACTGCTGTCCCCCTCCACTCTGTGAGGGAGCAAGCACCCATTTGCAGTCTTTCAGAGGCAAGCTTTTGGCTCTGCAAGCATGGGGTTCCAAAAGGCATAAACTATGGCCATTTCTGTATTGGCAGTGAAATTTCTTGTCTGACTTTGAGGGAATTTGAGTATTTGGTATAAAAGAGGGGAAAACACCAAATTTCTGCTTTGTCGTGTCCCCCCCCCTTTTTTTAAGGAAGCTTGAGTTATTTAAAACTTAGGCTTTGATTTTTATATTTCGTTAGCCCTCTAAGGAGCAGACATTCTGCAAATTTAAAGGGAAAACTTGAAAAGTCATTTGGATTTTTTTTTTGTCTTGCACATGTTCACTCAGAAACTTTACTAGATTTTTAGCAATGCTCCCATTACTGCCACATCTGGGTTTTCTCTTTTTCTTCCCTATTTAAAAAAAGTCCTGCAGTCATTCAAGGCCTCTAGTAGAAAGAGTGATTCTAAAGGCAGCAAATGGGAAGGCCTGAGGCTGTTGCCAGCTGTGCTCTGCAGGCGTTTTCATTCTCCCAGGGTGCCACTTACTGGTGTGGGGGCTGGGGAATCAGCAGAATATCATGAGCAAACTCCCCCGTGATTGGCTGTTTGCTTTCACGTTGGAGAAGGGAGGAAGGTACCTAGAGATGTCAAGATACAGACAGGAAAGCTAGGGGCAAATGGCTCGGAATGGAACTGAGGAGAGAATATTGGGTGTTCTCAGCTGTCCCTCTGAGTCTACTTAGCTCCCAGGACTGATTGTACAACTGGGTCCCTTCATGTTACTTTGGGAACCTTAGCTTTAATGTTAGCTGTCACCACCTGAGAAGTGAGCACAGAATTTTTCTCTCCTCTCTTTTGAACATGAGAGCTCCATGGAAAGAGGAAGGCCAATGTTGTTTTGAGAATGATCTGGGAAACTCCAAGCTGTCATAATGCTGCAGGGACCAGTATTAGGGTCTTGAACTTCAGTAATGAATACAGTGATTAAGAAAAGGGGCTCAGGAGCAAACGGGAGTGTTTCATATTGTGTGACTATCCCTGAAGACTAGATGGAACAGGGCCACAGTGGGAGGGGAGTAACCCAGGCTCTCTGTGTTTTTTCTTTTTGTTTTTAATTTTTCCTCCCCTAAGTTTTAGATGCTTCTGGATGTTCAATGCTAGCACCTTTGCAGACTGGAGCAGCTCGATTTTCTTCATATTTACTTTCAAGAGCAAGAAAAGTGCTGGGCTCCCACTTATTTTCTCCCTGTGGTGTTCCGGAGTTCTGCTCCATATCCACCAGAAAGCTGGCGGCCCACGGCTTTGGCGCATCCATGGCAGCAATGGTGTCCTTCCCTCCCCAGAGGTATCACTACTTTTTAGTGCTGGACTTTGAGGCCACGTGTGACAAGCCACAGATTCAACCTCAGGTAACTGTTGCATCATTGCTTCAGAAAAGGTGGGGTGGGAAGGAGGGGGCGGGGAGGATAGTCTTGCTTCCTGGGACCCAGAGGAACTTTCTCACGTCTTCCTGGATTTTAGCTACTAATCTGGAGTTCCTGCCTAGGAAGCAGGACTTGGTTCAGGCATGCTAGGATAAGGCAGTCTCTGGAGAAAACCGGGTACATTATTTCTCTCGGCCTCACCCTTTGGGAATCAAAATATTTCCTTTGTCCCACCCTTCCTCTCTCCTTTCCCTCCTCTCCTTTCTTCTTCCATTACTACTGCATGTTCTTGGAGGAATACTGTGGTAGTCAGCCTCCAAGATGGTCCCCAGCAATTCTTGCCTCTTAATATTCATATTAATATTCATATCCTTGGTTGTTCCCTGCCCACACTGAATCCGCTAGCCCTGTATAATCAATACAGTACAGTGGAAGCCACATTCTGTGGCTAACTCATAAAAAAGAATTGCAGTCCACTTGCTCTTTTGTATCACTTGTTCTCGGAAGCCAGCCACCATGCTATGAGGACGTTCAAGCAGCCCTTTGGGTAGGCACGTGTGTATAGGAACTAAGGCTTTTAGCTAAAAGCCAGTACCAACTTGCCAGTCATGTTTCTTGGTGCTATCTTAGAAGTGAATCCGACAGCCCCAGTCAAGCCTTTAGATAACTCCAGCCCCAGTGGACATCTTACTTCAACCTCAGGAGAGACCGGGAGCCGGACTGGCCAACTGAGCCACTCCTGAATTCCTGGCTTACAGAATTGTGAGAGATAATAAATAATTATTGATGTTTTAAGGCACTAAACTTTGGGATGATTTGTTATGCAGCATTAGATAACCTGAACAAGTACCATTGTTGGTCTGTTGGAAAGGAACATTTTTTTGCTTGTTTTTTTTTCCTTAGCCACTGACTATATCAAGAGACCTTTTAAGGTAGTGCTACTAAGAAGCTTGGATTAGCAGCAGAGGGGCACCTATGCTATGTGATCTTGGAGTGCTTGGTGTTTGCTTTGGAGGAATGATTGGGAGCTGATAGGAAGTTCATTGTATGAGACCTTGGGTATGCCTGGCTCTAGGACTGTAATTCTTCCCTCTGAGGCTGGGTTATCAGGTGTATAGTTCCGGGATGCATAGACATGTTGATCCTGGGAATAGTAAGAAGGGGGAAAGGAGGACTGTGGCATCAGGCACTTGGGAGACAGGGAGGAATGGGGTCCATCCAAAGATAAACTGGGTTCATTCCTCATGATTAATACCCCCCTCCCCCCCAGGAAGGTGTTCTTTCTTTAGAATAATGTATTGTTTTCCATAAAGCAGATATCAGAACCCTTTTTCCTTCCCATTTCTCCTTTTCTTTTTCCTATTCTCCCTTAAAGTAGTATCTGCCTTTGGGGCATTGGACTCAGACCTATTTAAGCTTGGGAAGACAGGAGCAGATTGAGGAGCATGTGCTAAGGGAAGGAACTTTGTACAAAAGAAAATATAGCTGGGAAGCCACCTGAGCCACCTTCACTTTCCCAGTCCATGCTCTAGGGCAGGGGTCCTCAAACTATGGCCCGCGGGCCACATGCAAATATAAATATTGTATTTGTTCCCATTTTGTTTTTTTACTTCAAAATAAGATATGTGCGGTATGCATAGGAATTTGTTCATAGTTTTTTTTTAAACTGTAGTCCAGCCCTCCAACGGCCTGAGGGACAGTGAACTGGCCCCCTGTTTAAAAAGTTTGAGGACCCTTGCTCTAGATCTTTTGGTTACTGGGCCACAAAATGAATACAATAGTGATATCTATTTATCTAGGGCCACATGCAAATATAAATATTGTATTTGTTCCCATTTTGTTTTTTTACTTCAAAATAAGATATGTGCGGTATGCATAGGAATTTGTTCATAGTTTTTTTTTAAACTGTAGTCCAGCCCTCCAACGGCCTGAGGGACAGTGAACTGGCCCCCTGTTTAAAAAGTTTGAGGACCCTTGCTCTAGGATCTTCTCCTCTGCCTCCCAGAACTATTGGTGATTCTGGGGTTGGTGTGCCTGGATGGTATGTGGGGATTTTGGTTATGTAGATTCTCTTAGGCTAGAATCAGGGATCCATATTCTAATATACCATATTATGTCCCTTAATGGTATAGAGTCTGAAACCCAACACATCCCTATTGCATGTGAGTTTATCCCTCATGATTGCTTGGTACCTCCCTTATGGCCTTTACTGCTTTCTACCTCCTGGCACATGCCAATGAATGTTTGTTTCTGAACTTTTCAGTCAGATTATAAGCTCGGATAATTATGTAGCTCTGTTCCCTTGTTCTACAGATGGTCCTACTAATGTTGATGAAGGTGAAGCCTGATTCATGTCTCAGTTTGGTCTGTCAGTATCACCTTTCATCTCTCTTTCAAGGGCACTGTTCTTTTTATTTTTAGTTCTTTTTATTCATTTATTGCAATGCTGAAGACATAATGCAGTACACATTTAAATCACCTGTATCACCAGCTTCCTTCCTAGACTTAGGTACCAAGGCCTTTCAGATCTAGGCTGAGCTAGGGCTTCATGCTGTTTACCAGGATCTGGGCCTGATTAAAGATTATCTACAGAATCAATGAACCCTGATGATGTGATTCCAAGGGCACTTAAGGAATTGGCTGCCCTGCTTCATTATTAGCAAAGCATTAGCTGTTGCTTTAGAGAACTCAGGAAGAAGCATTTGCTGTCTTGCTTATCTTTAAAAGGGGAATACGAATGATCTTGGAAATTATAGACCCGTTAGTTTACTGTGATTCCAGAGAAGATACTTGACCTGATCGTCAGATAATCAATCAACAAACAGCTAGAAGAGCAGAGGGTACTGAGTAATAACTTACATGGGTTTGTGAAAAAGAGCAAATCCTGTCAGATCAATCTAACTTCTTGCTGTGACATAGTGATGGATTTGAGTGGATCTAGGGCAAGTGATAAATGTAATGCATCTCTACTTCATTAAGCTTTACAATGCTGTGATCAACAGGTAGGAAAGTGAGTTTGGGGCCAGGCAGCTCTGCTGGACTGCCCATTGAACCAGTCTCAGGAAAGGGATGGGCAGCTCAGGAAAGATTTGAGACTTATTGTTAGCTAGGGGCCCAGTGCACTACATTTGTGCACTGGTGGGGTGGGGGGGTTTGTCCCTCAGCCCAGCCTGCGCCCTTTCACAGTCTGGGAGCCCACAGGGAGTGGGCCTAAGCCGCAATCAGACATCCTTAGCACTGTGGTGGGTAAGGCGGGAAAGGCTCCTGCCCCCGCTGCTGCGCTCACCAGCCGTCAGCCCAGCTTGTGGCTGAGCGGTGGGTAAGGCGGGAAAGGCTCCCGCCCCCGCTGCTGCGCTCACCAGCCATCAGCCCAGCTTGTGGCTGAGCAGCGCTTCCCCTGTGGGAGCACACTGACCACCAGGGGGCAGCTCCTGCGTTGACTGTCTGCCCCCTGGTGGTCAGTGTGCGTCATACCGACCAGTCGTTCTGCTGTTTGGTCGATTTGCATATTATCCTTTTATTATATAGGATGGCAACTTACAGCCCCCATCTTACTCTAAAAACAAACAAAAAAAATCTTCCCTAAAGTTTGCAGGAAACAAGATTCAGAGAAGTTTAGAAGATGGACTGGAGAAGCTGTCAGTCCCTGATATGACAGCATCCTTCCACTGAAGTCATCATAGGTCAGGTTCTCATTAGAACCTCTGTGGTATTTTGGTCTACTGGTCAAGAAGGGCAGTGGAGAAATTGGTAAAGCTCAGGATAAGAGGAACAAAAATCATCAGAGGCACAAAGATAAGACTTAGTTAGAAAAGAAATTGAATATGGTTTTAGTGACTGATTTCTTGTTCAGACTAAATAAATTCATCATATGGGAATTAATTGTTCTAAGGAGGATGATAATAACTTGCTCCTCATTTTAATAAGGACAAAAAAAAGAAATGAATTTAAATGGAAGCAGAGCCCTGACTGGTTTGGCTCAGTGGATAGAGCATAGGCCTGCAAACTGAAGGGCCCCAGGTTTGATTCCAGTCAAGGGCATGTACCCATCCCCAGTAGGAGGCATGCAGGAAGCAGCTGATTGATGTTTCTTTCTCATCGATGAGAGAGAACTATCTCTAACTATCTCTCTCCCTTACTCTCTGTAAAAAATCAGTAAAATATATTTTAAAAAAATAAATGGAAGCAGAAAGATTGAGACTTGGGATGAGAATCACTTCTAGTAGAGATAGTAAAAGCACTAGGAAATGGTGTGCCAGTTAGAACAGCCTTCCCTAGTGTTCTCTCAGAATGGCTTGATGGCTGTCCACTTGACAGACTTTATGGGCAGGTCTGCATGCCTCCTGGAATGGACGTGGGACTGAATCAGAACCCACCCAGCTCCCCTCCTTGGCTCCCATGAGCTTTCAATACTTAAGGCCTCTGCATAGTACACTTCTGATTCTTATGGGAGTGTGTGTCATAAACAAATTTTGGGCCAGAGCCTATCTGCAGGCTTGGCATTGGGTTCATTCTCTCATCTGTCTCTGGTTTTCAGAAGTCTCTGAATCAACTTATTGGGACTATCCTAAAGGAATGCCACTATGAAAAATTAACAGTTGTAAACTCTGTTGTACTTAGGTGAGTAACAATATTATTTATAAACATAGTAAAGCATGGTATTTTCCATTTGTCATCATTTTTGTTGTTGTTTATTTTTGTACTTTGTTCAGTTTGGTGAAACTGGAGTGGTCAGTTTGCCAGTAGTAGGCTTTCACTTTCTGTTTTTTTTCACTTATTTTGTTTTACATGCTTTCATTCAGATTAACATAATAGGTATTGGTTGAATATGAGACTTTTTCTATTTGAAGACATTTTTTCACTTTATTTTTAATTTAGATGGTTTAAAATGCTACATAGACTCTAAATTTGAGGAACACTATTATTTTCTTGCTTTAAGAATTATTTCTTGATATGGAAGTAGTTTTGGGAGAATCTTTATTCTG